GCCCCGCGCTTCGCGTCTCGTTCTCACTATTTTCCTCCTTCTTCGGTCGAACAAAAAAGGGGGCAGAGCATATTTCCTGATGCAGGCACACACACACCACCGCGCGCTTCCGCTGGGACGGATAAAAGAGGGTCCCCCCCTCTTCCCCCCTGCTGCCAAAACAGCCCTAGCACCGAACAGAGTGGCGCTTGTTTGCGAAGCGGGAGTAGTCATTCCACACAACTCTGCCATGTGACGCTGCCGCCGCGACCCCCCCCCCCCTCCCGCCTCGCCTTGCCCCACCCCGCGCCACCACGGAAAAAAGAGGGTCACAACCAGGGAAGCGCGGGAAAAGGGACTCGAAGGGCTTTGTTTTCCTATTTTAAGGCCGATATAAAATTCAACCATTCCTCTTCCCGCGACGTAGACATACAACGGGTACTGGTTGCGAGCTCGCTAGCGGGCGTGCTGCCACGGTTCTCCAGGCACTCCGGCCTGCGACCCTACTTCCAATAGACGCGGTAAAACAACCGGCCTTATTTGGACGAATGTCCCCGTCGCTTCGCCGTCCATTGCTGCCGGCCCTCTCCGGCACAAGACGGTAAGCGAAATCTGTGGCTGGACGGAACTGGGTTTGACTTCCTCACCATTGAAAGTTTCTTCGTACAACTTCATCACAACACGCACCAGGATCCAAAAGAATATGCAGAAGAAAAGGAGAACATTGGGCACGTGTTGATTCTACAACTCGTCGGTGTCAAACTGCTGAATGTTTCTTCCAGGATGCTAACCTGAAACCGGGTCGCGTCAAGCGAGGAAGAGACCGAAAACGGAACCTTGGGAGATAAAAAAGGTCGAGCACGCCACGCGAGAGGAGGGGAAGACGTCGGGACGTTCGGCTCGGGACAGGACAAAGAGTGGGACGAGCCGTCAGGAAAATGAATTATTGACATTTTAGATGAATGAGACAAGTCATGGCCTCGCCGTCTAGACTCCGCACTCGGTGGGATGTGAGATTGGTGGCAGCCGGGCTCGGGCCGACCCTCATGTATGGGCCCCGAGGACTTTCAAAGTCTGGGTCGTTTTTCACGTACCGAGCCGCGCAAAAAACTCTGTCCAAATTAATATTTTACAAGGAATTATACTCGTTTTAGCATAATATCCCGGCCAGCTAGACTTAACGAGAGAGTGCGCTGGGCACACACATTAGCAGTGGAATTGAACCTCACGGCTGGCAAGGCCACCGGCGCGACGGACATAAATGTCCAGAGGAGCTTCATCCAAATAATTGCTCAGTCTCGTTCGCGTCTTCGCCTCGCCTGACTGCAGCTCTGCCGGTATTTCCGTCTCCACGGTCGCGCCGCGACCGAGACCCAGTCAGGAAGGCAAGGCGGTGGACGCGGCGCCGGGTCGACCTCCTTCCCGCTGGAAGCATAGGCTGCCGCCCCTTGCTATTCTGGAACAAACGCGCGCCGGCCCCCGTGGGAGGCGTAATATGGCTGGGGGAGGGAGAGAGAGGGAGGGAGTTCCGTGGAATACTCAATCGCACCGATTACTACCCGATGGGAATCTGATGAGGCAGTGGCTTCCTTTCGCGTTCCAATCCCATTCCCTGCTCCATCTGGTCGGACCCCGCCCCCTCCTCCATTAGGGGTGCCTCGCCACTGTCTCTCTCGCACTCGTCGGACGCGCCGGGGAGCGAGGAGAGAGGTCCTGTCTCACTGCTCACTCTCAGTTTTGAATCGACTCGACGACGACGCGGGGGCGAACCGAAGGCGACAGACAGAAGCAGCGGACAAAAGAATAATTGGGTTGTTGGAGGAACAACAAATCTTTGGCGTTTTCGGTTCTAATGCCGCCGGACCGTCACGGATGCGGGGCTGATAGCAGCCCTCTGGAAGGCGAAGGCGTGGGGCGGCCAGGCTGGCTTTCTCGAGGGTCGCGCACAAGCCGGCCGGATTCCGTTATCTCTCCAACTTGGGTCGAACCTCCTCGGCCGGGATCAAGACCGGAACCAGGGCCGGCCCGACCAGGCCCGGCTGGCGCTGATGACATCGTGTCGGGCCAGATCACCCCGGTGACGTCATTCCAAGAAATTATCATGGACACCCTGCCGGACTTCCAGCCTTTCGAGGGCCACCCTCTCCCACCGAAACCGCCAGCATTCCCGACGATTCCAGACGCAGGACCGAAAGAGAAGAAACGTCTCGGAATGTGTCTCGTCGGGGAGGCGGTGCGCTGCGGCGTGGCGGGCCAGCCACTCCCCTTGGCACAAGCAGGCCTGGCCCTTGGGGCTAACCAAAATGCGCCCGGAATCTCTAAGGAGACAGACAGAGTTGAGGGAGGTGGGGGCGAGCTTGGCACCGCTACTGGCGAACTGCCCGCTTGGCACGACTGATTGTCTGTCTCTGTCCGATGTACAAAATTCATGCGGGGGGCCGGAAGTGGCCGCCGCCCGCGCGCAGCACCTCCGCCCGGCCCACCCCGCCACGCCCCGCCACGCCCCTTCAAAACCAGCATTAGTCCTCATTGTAGCCGGGTCCGCCGTCAGCCCCACCCTCGGCGCCGCTCGGCGCACCGGGACAAGACAAATTGCGAAGAGTACCCGCGCGCTGCCGGCGGCGTGGCGGCGTGGCGGGTCAGCAGTACCCCTGCTCACTGCCGGGAGGCACCGGGACGGGGTTCCGTAGTTGGCGCGCGAATACCGCGCCGTGCCGTACACGCCCCCGGAATGGAGCGAGGACGGGCAGCGGCAGCCAGGTCGGCAGGGCATTCCAGACGCACTGCTGGAGCCACCGGCTGCTGGGGCACTGCTAGGGCACTGCTGGGGCACTGCTTGCTGGAGCGGAGGCGAGGGGCGAACCAGGCGGACGCGGCCCTGGAATGCTCGTCAAAATGCCTTTGATCCAGCGGCCCTGCCTTTCGCCCTGAAAAGCTGCCCCGCCCCGCCCCGCCCCGCCCCCCGCGCCGACCGCCGCCAACACACCGCGCCGTCAATCTGCGCGCCAAGGCCGCCGTCGACGCGGCGTCGTTCCGCTGGCGCGCTGGTGGCCGTCAAGCGGGCGTCCATCGCGACCGCCACGCCGTCATCGGCGGCCTCCCCCGCCCCGAGCCCATCTGCTGGCCGTCCAATGTCCGCGCCCGCCGCTTCGCCAATTTCCGCGCCACTGTCGGGCCGGGCCGGGCCAGGCAGCCGGTATGCACGCGGCTCTAGATCAAAGCAGTCCATCCACCAGCCCCTGCCCACCGCCCACTCCAGCCCGTTCAAGTTATTGCCGCCCAACACCTCCTCTTCGTGGCGTGACAGGCCAACTGCAGGCTGCTTCCGAACAGCTCTCTCTCTGTCTATCTCTCTCTCTCTCTCTCTCTCTCTCTCTCTCTCTCCTCTCTCTCTCTCTCTCTCTCTCTCTCTCTCGCACACACACACACACACACACACACACGAAATGCCCTATGGAGCGCCCCGCCAGAGAGATGGCGTGAAATCAGCCTCGCTGCTGGACGCAATAGCATCCCCAACAGGCTCGCACCACACTCACTGCGCAGTTCCTCATACTCGAACATTATTTGTCGAGGTAAACTGGGACGCGTGTGAGTGAAAGCTTTTTGTCCTTGTCGCACCGACGGCGGCGCCAATATTTGCACGGGCAAAGAAAGAACGCAATGACAGCAAACACATTGACGGGCGCTAGACCTGACCTTCCTCGGAAAGCTCCAGGTGGCGACTGCGCCACTGCCAGATGAAAGGAATGCAAACTCTTCCCCTCCCCCTCTATCTCTCACCGTTTTGCAGGTATTCGCCTGCATAAAACGACCCGACTTACACTAAAAGCCCCGCCGTTTTCGTCTGCGGTTCGTTTCTGTTTGCCGGCCCTTTCGTGCACTGACTGTACTTGAAACTCGCCGAGCGGAAGCATCGCTCGATTGGCTGCCGACCGCAGAAGGTCAACGTATGGTTATGCCCCCCGTGCGGCCCTCCGGCTGCACCTGGCAGGCCCGGCACAGTGAAAGCCGGCTCGGCTCCGACCGAAAACGGCTCCAAGAGGGTGTGCAATGATGCAACAACAGTGGCCGGCCGGTCCGGCCAGCGCGGCGAGGCCAGCGCGGCGAGGCCAGCGCGGAGCGGCGGCGGAGCGAGCGAGCGCCACACCGCGCCAACGGCGCCAAGCCGGAGCCGTGAACCGCAGCCCTCTTTATACAGCTGCTCAGGGAGCCACTGATCCTCCCCGCAGTGCCCCGCGGCTGTAACGGAAAAGTAACGAAACAATCGCACACCGCCGTGCTGTTCAGGCCAATGGAACGAAAGGGCCTGCCAGTGTCCGAAAGGCATTACAAGACTTCCCAAGAGCGTCACAGTTCGGTCGCAGACCGGTCGCAGACCGTCCGAAGGGCATCACAAGGTCATCTTAGCGATCTTCTTAGCTATCCTCTTGGCGCCTCATCTGTTACCCTTCACCTTCTCAAAACTATATTAATTTCCCTGGTTGTAAAAATTACCCCATGAAAAAGAAAAATTGTTTCGAGAATTCTCTCCGCGACTCTCACATATGCGAAATAGGTCACGTGAAACTAAATTATATAATTAGCGAAAATAAATGAAAAAGAAAATGGAGCGGCGGAAATGTGATTTACACTGACGGAGCGAAATGGGCACGACGGTGGTGCGGCCTCGCTGGCCGTGTTGGCCGTGCTGGCCGCGAGCCCAGTGCCCTGTGGTGGTGTGCGTCGTTGTGTGAAGGTGACCCCGCTGCGCACCTGGCTCTGCAGACTCATTCCGAGAGTCGTTTTCGTCGCTCTGTCCCTCTCGCACACTCCACGGCGCGTCCCGTATAGGTGCGAGAGAGACAGAGCGACGATAGCGACCCTCGGAATCAGTCTGCTGGCTTCACAGCACACCGCGCCCAAATTGGAGACCGCGATGAAAATAATGTCCCCCGAGCCGTATGGGCCTGACGCGCTCGGTTTATCTAGTTTTCGATCATTGGCTGGGTTCGCGACAACGCGGCGTCACGGGGACTTACCTTTGTCGACGGTGGTGGCGTGCAGCAGCGTCGGCAGCGCGGCGATGAGCAGCAGCCTGAGCGCCGGCAGCAGGACGCCTTGTCCTGGCTGCAGGACGCACGGCATCGTGGATCCTGCGAAAAAAAAAAACCGCGGTCAGTCAACCAGTTCACTTTGCGTCAACTTTAAGCAGTTCGAATCTAGACAAGAAGCCAGACAGCTCGCTCCATGTTCCTTGACAGAGTCACCTTGGCATGCACGCACGCTCTGATGCCAGATAGGCCGCCGTGCCACTGTAATGCAAGACGGGGTCCTTGGAGGCGGGCGGGGCTCGCACGTACGCCCCACATGAGTAGTCGCATCGAGCGTGGGCGGCGCACTCCATGCCGACGACACACACATGCACACCGCCACCACCACCGCCGCCAGCGTCCTCCGGGCCAGGTAAGCCAGCAGGTGGACAGAATGAGGCTGCGTCACTGGCTCAAGACAAACGCGTGCAACCTGTCCCGTCCCTCGCAAGGGCCGAGGAGGGCCGGCACGGACGCAGAGGGAGGGGTGGGGGATGCGGCAGGCCCAAGAGGCAGGGACCAGAACGGCAATTGTTGTTCGCGGTTCGGGCACTCCAACAAAGATCTTTGTGCGAACCTCACAAAGAAAAGTTTGCGTTCCCACCAAGTTTTTTGGGCACGTGTCAGAAAATGTTTCAGAATTCATGTAATATTTCTTCTTTTACCGGAGAAAATACTAGGTTCGTCCCTCATTTTCTGAATGTCTTGTGGTGTTGCAACGCGAGGTGCTCAACATCCATGAGCCAAGTGCAACAGAACGCCCCGACGACGGAGCGAGCGAGAAAGCAAGGCAGGGTCTGATTCCAAGCTGTCGAGGCGTGCGTGTGCGAGTCGCCAGCCTCACAGTGGAGTGGCAAGGTAGGGGGTGCAAACACGCCCCCATCGCTCTCGGCGTCCTGGCGTCCCGGCCTGACGTCCCGGCGGCCTGGCGAGGCGCGGTGGCGGCAGTGGCGCAGTTACAGCGTGACAAATAAAGGTACGGCCTGGCTTTTAGTGGATGGAAGGGATGTGGCTGAAGTCCCCGGCGGCGAGGCGCGCACCGTCGCCATGCCGCGTTGACGAGCCTGCCGAGTAACGAGGCCAGGTACTCAGAGGCGACGACGACCCCCTGCAAACAACTCGGCGGTGTTGGTATGCGAGCCCGCGCCTCGTAGCAGTGCCGTGGCATGCCGCCCCCCGACGGACTGGCCACCCGCGGCCGTGGCACGGCGACCGCCGCCGATCCAATTTTAAGTCCTCAGGTCCCCAAGTGCATCCTGATTCGCTTTGCTTCAACTTGCCCGAGGCGCCCCGCCCGGTCCTGCTTCGGACGTGAGGGTCGCGGACAGTGCCGGGCAGTGCCGCGCACTCTCGGCGCGGCGGAGTCGCATTCGAAAGCGTGCCGCGCCGTCCGCGCGTCCCGGAAGACGAAGACGGAGGGGAGGGGGCGCCGAGATTAGGTCGGCAGCGCTGCGACGGAGCGCCCTCGTTATAATGCGCGTCTCATAACCGTGAAAATGCAACTATATTAGAAGCGCAGCGGCAGTGCGGCCGAGGCGCCGAGGGCAGTCGCGTCCTGGCGTGGCACGGCGTCATGGAGGCCAGGCAGATTCCCCCCCCCCCCATCCCGAAGCCGCTTCTTGGTCAGGCCGTTCCATCCCGGCCAACTTGGCGCCCTCGATGACGCGGCCCACAATAAGGGCCTCGCCTTTTGACCTCCTCATCTCCCCTCCCTCACTCTCTCTCTCCCTGCTCGCCTCTTCCCGCTTTCCTCTGTGGACTCGCTTCCTTCCTCCAGGCAGCTCCATACACGGCCACATTTTTTCGCGCAGATCAAATCTAGCCCCCAAAAATTGCTTGGGGATGGTAGTTCTCCCAGCGCTGCTCCCCCGCCCCCTGTCTCCCCCATATACACGTCGCACTGGTAGCAGCGCTATCCCCCCCCCTTTCCTTTTTTCATCCCGGGGCGCCAACTTTCATGCCAAGGTTAACGGCACGAGACAATTTTCATCGCCGACGCGAAATATTAAATGAAGAAAAGGGCGGACCTAAATCACTCAATGCGCGTTCATCGCTGGGCAATCTCTCGCGCGCCGCTTTTAAAGTTTTGCGCCTCGGCGCCCGCGTGAGTCTCGCCTGGTCTCACCCCGCCGGCCGGATCGGTGACCTTGCGCTGCTCGCGCGGACCCTGGTGCTTCATGCTCTCGCGATAACCGGTGGACGCTCTGCCTAGCGGCCAAGTGTGTGACGGCGATGGACTGGATCCACCAGCGGACGACGCCAGCGGACGACGCCTCGCAGAATCGGCTTACGGTTTGGCCGGAATCGCTGCCTCAGCGTGTCCGGTGCCAGTGGCAGGCCGCCCACTGCGCCGCCACCCCGGCCAAGAACGCCGAAGCTCGTTTTTCCGCATGACCTGGCCCCTTGTTTGCTGGGCCCCGCGCGTGCGTGTGCGTGCATTCGTGCTTGCGTGTGTCCGTGTGTACTCATGTAGGAGTGCAGGTGTGTGTGTGTGTGTGGGGGGGGACGTTTGCCTGAGTGGGTGTGAGTGGGTGTTGACTTCGGATAGGTAAGTGCGTTTGTATGTGTGTATTGACCCCCCATCTCTCCCACACACGTTTTGGAGGGGGGAATGGAGTTGGAGGGGACAGTCAGATGGAAACAATCTAGACATCGAAAAGCACGATTATTATGACTATGATTTCCAGCCTTCTACCAGCGAACCGCCTTTCCCAGTCCCCTGCCGAAGGACCCAGAAATCACAAAGAAGGGGGGGGGGGCTGCGCGCTGCTATGCGAGTACATGTGACGAATGGCGGTGCTAAGCCGCTACAGGCGGCGGTGGCAACGCGCGCCGCGCATTTGAAACCCGGTTTATCCCGCTCGGCAGGCGAGCCTGTCTAGTCTAGCGGCAACGCTTGAGCAGCTGCAGTCTGGCTCATGAGCACTTGGAGGCGTCTGTCTGTGTCTCATCGAGATGGCGGCCGCGAACACCTTGGCTTTCGGGACAGCGGGAAGTGGGTCACGGTGCCCCGGAAGGGCGCTCCGCAGAATTTCGAAAACAGGGTCTTCTTTCCTGCAGTGTGCTATCGCTAAGGCGCTCCGCAGACTTTCGAAAACAGGGTCTTTTTCCTGCAGTGTGCTGGCGCGAAGGCGCTCCGCAGACTTTCGAAAACAGGGTCTTCTTCCTGCAGTGTCCTAGCGCGCGCTCTCTCGAGGGTGGAGGGCTGCCGAGGGCGGCCCGCTCAACGCAACGCGCCCGCTGCGCTAGTGCGCTGCAGCACCTATAAGGGAAGTCGTAATCACCGGCCAATCCCAGCTGATGAAAGCAATGAGGGGGACTTCCCCGTCTCATTACCGAATCACGCAAATCAGGGCGCTGCAGACGACAAAAAGCCCGCCGTTGCGCGCACCGGGTGCCAACCCTGGGCGCACCCAACACACCACTGGGCTCGAACGTCGGGCAGTGGATCTTTCTGGAATTTTTAAAGGAGTTTGGGCAAACACAATGCGGACTCTCTGCGTTTCCCTTAAAAAATAAATCCATTAGAGTCCTAATTCATACAACGCGACTTTTTTTAAAGGCCAGCGAGCTTAAATGTAATCCCGCGGAATCCATTGGAGATGCGTCGGCGGCATGCGTGCCTCGCTATGCGCTGGGAGTTTGAGCCCTCCCGCTGACGCGTAGTTGCCGCATGGCTGAGCTACCACTAGCGCTAAGCCGGGTACGGCGGTATGGCGGTACGGCGGCGGGTGCCACAACCAAATACTCTGCGGTGAGTAACCGACTGGGCGGCAAGTCGGCTCGGCAACTTCCTCGTCATCAGCCTTTGCTGCGGCTTGGTGGCTGCGGCCTGAGCCTGCCGGGTAGGGATGGCGCGGCTCCGAGGTACTGACCGCACACCGCAGGGTGCCCTTGCCGGGGAAGTCCCTCGGATAATTAAAGTTCCGTCGTGCAGTGATTCCTTTTATTTTCGGTCAAGGAATAAACCCCTGGGCGATTCCATCGGGGGCAGCCGGTAACAACTTCAGGCCCGGCAAGCTAACTCGGTTGGACCGCGGTCAGTGACCCCGAGCGCCTCGGGGCCGAGTCGGGCGGCCTGCCGGAACAGTGTAGTGCCGAGTCTGACAAGGCGGAGGATGGGCAGCTGCTGGGGGATGGCTAGCATGGCTAGTCGGGCGCGCAGAGGGCTCCAGAGGACCGACACCCACTGCGCCGGGCCGCCCCACCGCGCACCAGTCCGGTCAAAACATTAATAATAGTCCGTCGAAATTTATGCCGCGCAGAGAGCACACTCCCACGCGCCGGGCAAACGTCACAGCACGGCTTTTCTAAAACGGTCGGGAAGGGGGGGCTCTGACCCCTCCCCCTCCCCCGCCAGAGCCAACCGCCGCTCCATTTCGCGGGCTTGGCTGCTCGGCTGCGCGAGGCTGCGCGAGGCTAGCTGGCCAGCCGGGCTAACGGTGGGCCACCACAATGGCCGGAGCGGCCGGAGCGGGCAGCGCGGGCAGAGGCTCCGACAGGAAATGGGCTGTGGTTGGTTGTGGACTCTGCGGCTTACAGCGGCGCCAAAATATAACGAAAGGGCAGCGCGCCGTTTTCGCGACCGCCAGTGTAGCGCGTTCGCAGTGCGCTGGAAGCGCGTCGGCGGCCCCGCTATAGCGCGCTAGCGGGGATTGAGCCACTCACGCCATGGAGGCACTGTTCGGAGTCGGCATGCCGGCTCGCGTGAATATATGTCCAGGGGCAAGGATTTCGGCTGTTTCAAAAAATAACTTGTGTCTCAAACTGCTTGCTTTCCATTGATGTTGCTTCTAGCAGTGTAATAGACTGTCGGGACCGCTTGCCGTTGTGGTCTATTGAGTTGCATCGAATGCCGATAGAGTAAATGGATGCAATCATTTTTGAATGCCGCATTCTCAACCACCCGTTGTGTGCGGCGCTGCACACGAGGCCAAACAGCGCAGCGCAAACGCGGCCCAGAAAATTCCACAAACAACAGTGAAACAAACAACAACTAGGGTCCTTGGACACTGAAAAACAACAATGATCGCCAGGGCGGCGCGCGGAAGGGAACGATTATA